AAAACATGCCATATATATATATATATATATATACGGAATACGGTAGGACGAGCCGACAAGGTCACATACTATCCAACTATACATGACTGTCTACATACCTCTAACAGAGTGTACAACTGTATAAAGGATGGGACTGGGCCCCGTCATACCCATATATATACAAAAGTATCGTACCAAAACTCAATAGCAGCTACGGGTCAAATGGAACACACCAACTCTCGTTGAGCAGGGATCCTAAGATGGGGGACCGTCAGCCTGTCTACCTGCACCTTCAAGCATGAAACGCAGGCCCTCAGGCAATAGGGGCGTCAGTACGAATAATGTTCCAAGTATGTAAGGCATAAAAATTAATATATAACAGACATGAAAGAAGCATAGAGTAAAAGACTCAACCTGTAAGTCTGAATAGCTTTGTGAATCATAAAATATTTATAATGTCGTGTATATGCGTATAAATATCATATCATGCATATGTATATGCGTACATAACATCATCAAGCCTCTGAGGGCATCCCATCATATTATCTCAGCCTCTGTAGGCGAAGTCATAAACCTATACCAGCTGATCAGGTGGTGGTGCGTAATGAAGTAAGTCAATAAAATCTCTCGGAATGTCATGAGACCCATGAACAGACGATATGATAGTAGGACATATGAGGAATCCAGAACCTAGGCAACCTTAGTACTTCTAAGAATAAAATTATTTATGAAAGTTGTGTGCTTACTTGTTTCGTTGTATTATATGGATCATGCCAAAAGGAAAGAAGGGATAGCCTTAACATACCTCAAGTCGTCAATGCAACTCAAAAACAAGCTTATGACAACTAGCGCGCCAACCCTATAACAAAGAAATACGTGTACAACTTATATGGCGGGGGTATATCACGTATCTCAAATGATAACTCGATTCTAAAATAAAACGGGCAGCATTTCCCCTAATTTCACTGCTCCCTCAAGCCTACTATAGTCGAGATACAAACACAATACAATCAGCAACTAAAAAACAACCCAACTACAATTCGGGACCTTCAATACAACAAAACCCCCAAATATACCATAACATATCCAATCAATAAGTTATCAATTAGCCTGAAATTGCAACGACGAGCGACCAGCCTACTACCCTACCACATGTGGCATTTTACCACGCCCTTCCTCATTCCAAACTCCATAAATCAACAACACAATAGGCCAATACGAGTGGACTACAAAACAATCTACTAAAAGTGAAATAAATCGAACTCACGGCTTTCGATCACTGTCCCGTGAGTTCTAAATATTAGAAAACTAATTTATCAACCTTCCTTGATATTTAAACACTTAAATACAGAAATTAGATATTTTTTAACTATGAAGTACCTTACAAAACTCGAACGGCAAAGAAACAAGAGAGGCAGTCTAATGATACTTACGTCGTAGGGATCGTTCTGATGTTATCGCTTCTCGATTTCGTACCTGGGATATTAGTATTCTTCGAAACCCTATTAGAGAGCTCAAGGATAGGTTTTATGGTGTTCTCTAGTTGGGTTCTATGTAAAAATGAAGAGAGACGAGTTAAGACCTATATATCAACTTTTAAAAAGTCAAAGAGGTGCTAGCTTGACACCCTCGCATTGGCCCATTTTTCGACGATTATATCTTTTTATCCGGATGTCGTATGAATGAACGATTAATAGCGTTAGAAATTACATTTAAAGACCTTCAATTTGGTATATAATATGTCCCAAAAAGACCTCATATAACACACGAAATTTATTTCTCAAAAAGCTCTATTACAAGGCAAATCCTTAGTCGGTTTTTCCGCAACTTAAATCCGATTTTTCCCAAACTTTATATTTTTTATCCAAATATCATATATAGTCATATTATGACTTTAAACTCATTTAAATCATGATTAACAAGTCTCATATTCATTATATGTCACCTTAGGACGCACATGGTGTAACATAGCCCATAAAGGTAATAAGTCAAATGAAGTTCAAATCAATACTAATGCTAATAAAAGAAATTCAATTCAACACTAGGAATGACAATAGTGTTGGATATCTATTTTTTAGTTTTGCACTGATTTATAATGAAAACGTATAATCTAGTTTATCTTCTTTTTTTTATGCTTAATATTAAAATTAATAGTACTTATTAGTTGTACTTATTTTAGCACGACCTATATAGTATTTTTAGATTATGTTAATTTTTATTATGGTGTATTAATTAGTTATATTTTCTTTGTGCGGTTTTATTATCTATGTTGTTGAATATTTTAATACAATGTTATGACTCATCTCATATTATTATTTTATTTTCATGGAAAATACATTATATAGTTGTATCCTACTATGACTAAAATAAATATTTGGAGCACAAGCTACATATTTTGTGCTATTAAAACTTTACCGAAAAAAAATTTGAAAAATCGAAAAAAATCAAAAAACTCGAGGAAAACCGAGATTGAAAACATGACTTTATTGGTTTGGTTTGGTTTATAAATTAAAAAATCCGACACCATTAATTTGATTTGGTAATTAAAAAATCCGAACCAACCCGACTTATGTACACCCTTATTGATGCTTAATAACTACAAATACTTGTAATTAAACTCATATTTGTAAATACTAAGTTCAATATATCTGTAAATACTAAAAATAGTAATTCATGAACAGATATTTCGGCTTGATATCTCCAACTTCCAAATCGACACTTGGAGTTAGCTTTAACCGGAAGTAGACCGAACTCTGTTACTCCCTCCGTCTCATATTAATAATCATGATTATTAAAAATAGTTATCTTAAATTATTTGTCATTTTAAAAGTTCAGGACAAAATGGATTATTTTTTTTCTTTTTTACCCTTAATAATAATTATTATTGAAGATAGAGATAACACATAAATAGAATAAATATTCAATGAAGAGAGATTATATTTTAAGACATAAATAAGGATAGAATAATCTAATCCTTTTTCTAATTAATATTTTTTAAGGGGCGTGTTAAAAAGAAACACGATATATAATATGAAACATAAAGAGTAATTGTTAGTAGATTATTTGTTATTGCGAATACAGCTTCGACTTTTGGACAAACGTAAAAAGCCATTTAATGTTAAAACCCAAATGAATAAAGTAGTTAAAGAACACGACACCCACCTACTCTCCTTCACTCTATCTTTGGTTTTTCCATTTTTTTATTACTATTTATTAGTACTTCGTATCATTGGCGAAACCAAAATTTTGGTTAAGGAGTGTCAAAATATATAAAAGTAAATATATCAAAAAATTAATGGGAGTCAATATATAGTATATATACATATAATTTATATTTTTACCTACCTATATAATGTATTTTTTTCGCGAAGGGGTGTCCTTCCTATAAGGTGGCTCCGCCACTGCTTCGTATGTCCTAATCTATGTGACATAATTCGAAGTACGACGGTCTAATTATTTAATTTTCGGTGTAAATTCAAGCATAAAACTTTCAACAACAACAATAACAATAAATTCAATATAATTCTACAAGTAAGGTCGATAATATATATGCGGACCTTACCCCATTATTTTCGATAGACATAAAACTTTCAATGTTATTAAAATAAAACTTACATATTAATACTTAAAGAAACTATATATAAAATATTATAAGTCACAAACAAATTTCATTCACTTGACTCCAATTAATAACTATCTCACATTAAGTGGACAGAGGGAGTACTTATTAGTACTAATTTAATTCCCATTATCAATAGGAAAAAGACATTCTTTTCTCTGCTCACTCTGCACTTCTCACTCACAGACTCAGAGAACTCAAAACACCCCACCTTGGGTTGTTTTACTCATATTGTCTCTCACGGGCTCATGAATGATTAATCATTCATCTTTTTACTCTGTAAAGACAACCATCTTGGCCTTCCTTTTTCTCACATTCCTTTGATTTTTCTGGTGTTGTGTTCTTTGTAAGTCTAAAGTTTCTCATTTTCTCAATCTTGATATTACTACTATTAACATCATTTCTAGTCATTATTTCATGTAACATTGTGAATTTGTGAAGTAGCTGTTTAGTCTTATTTGCTTAATAAGAACTTGGGTTATTCTCATTTGCCTCTGTTAGTCTTCAAATCTGCTACTTGTGGTGTTCACTCTCTGTTCATTATGCTTTTATTGTTTGTCGGATTAAGCCGGCTCAAAGATACACGTGGTATGATATAGTCCGCCAAAAGACTTCATACAATTTAAAACTATCCCTACACCTTATAAGTAGTTTCATTTTCATTTCAGCTACCAATTTGGGGCTTTGTTTGCGCATACAACAGTTTATGTAGCGACAAAGTATTTTAGCCTTGAGGATATCTTGTTCCTTCTAGTTTTTCGTTTGCTCTTCGTTCCTTAGATTGATTTTCTTATCCTGCAAAAAAACAAATCCTTTTTTTTCCTTTCTAAGATCTTGTATAGTACTTAATGTGTTCTGGTTAATTGACTTAAGCATCCAAGTGTTAGAATTATGAAGTCATTGGAAACTGACTTGTGAAAGAGAAAGGGGCGTTTCTTGGACATAGAGCATGTACAAGCATAAGGATTGTTAACGAATAACTCGAATTTCTAAGTATAAAAGGGCAGCCCGGTGCACAAAGCATCCCGAGTTCCCATAGGGTCCGGGGAAAGGCCGCACGCGAAGGGGGTGTGATGTAGGCAGCCTACCCTTATGCAATATGCAAGCATCAATGGCTGATTCCACGGCTCGAACATGTGAAATCATTTAATTATAGAAGTTCTACTAACTTGAGAATGCTACTTGGTTCAATTGCAATGTGCATGTGGGAAAAGGATAGAATGAACACTAAGTTCGGAATCTTTTGCTCTTTAATACAGCTTGAAGATGTGTTTGCTATTCATTTTTGTGCAGGCTCATATTGTTCAATTGATGACCATTCTATATCTGTGTTACTAAAATCATGGTTTTGGGACTGAAGGCCAGAACTAGGAATAGCCCCTCAGTTCAAGTCGAATATCTAATCCATATTAAGGCGATTAAACCTTGGCCACCCTCGCATTCATTGAGAACTCCCCGTGCTGTTTTAATCGAGTGGGAACACGGAGATAAGCACTCTGGATCTACTAATCAAGTTGTTCCATCGTCGGGAACTGGTTCTGGTATTGGTGACGGAAGAATTGAATTCAATGAGTCGTTTAGACTTCCTGTGACGCTTCTAAAGGAAACTTCACTTAAAGGTGGAGATGGAAACACTTTCCAAAAGAATTGCATCGAATTCCACTTGTATGAACCCCGGCGTGATAAGACCGTAAAAGGTCAACTTTTAGGAACTGCTATCGTTGACTTGGCAGATTATGGTGTTGTTAGAGAGAGTTTGAGCATATGTCCCCCTATTAACTGCAAGCGAACTTATAGGAACACAGCACAGCCTCTTCTTTTTCTGAAAATTCAGATAGGTGAGAGGAGTCGCGTAAGGTCATCTTTGAGGGACAAGTTAAAAAGAGAAGCTTCAATGGACCGAAATGGTTCTCTTTCTAGATTACTGAGTGAAGAATATGCTGATGAAGCTGAATTTGCTTCATACACTGATGATGATGATGATGATGTTTCCTCGCATTTATCAGCGCCTGTTTCTTCTTCAGCTAACGAATCAAACTATGGTTCACCACCTCAAGAAGAGGTATAGTGATGCTTTTCTATCAGTATCCTCTGCATATCTGAATGTAATTCTTCCGTTGTGTTACTTCCAAAATGCATGACACAGGTCCTTTTGCAGCAAATTTGCATTCAATACATACTATGTATAGAAGATGCAATGTCCATTTCCGTGGCATGCATTTTTGAATAAAACGCACTCTGTAAAACTTTACATCATTGTAACATGATTGGTGGTTGTATTACATTGCTTTCCAGTATTATGAAAATCTTAGATTGTTTGATAGCCAACTGGCATATGATTGCAGGATATATCCGAGGGAGTAAAAAGTAGCGCTGGACAAGATGAAGATGAAAATGTTCTAGATTACAAGGAAAGGCTTGCAGATGTGGACGAGAATCCTGAGACAAAATCTCTATCTAGTTTGCAAGGAAGTTTGTCGCACTCCTCAACTGATATGTCCTCTGATCTGGCTTGGATCTCAAAGAAAATTGGTGGTTGTAGTAGCGTTCAGTATTCAACATTTAATGTGAGTGATATAAATGAGGAGACTCAGAATGCCTGCATGATAATCAAACAGGACAAACAGGTACAATGCATGGAACAAATAGCGGCCAATGGCAAAAGTGTTGGTGAAAAATCCAGTCGACAGAACTCAGATCCAGCTGAAAGAGCCTGTCCAATTCCGTGTATCACAGATGAGAGTAGCAACTTTGAGAGCACAGTTAGTATTTTCTCCAATAGTGTGATGGAAGAGAAAAAGTCAACTCTATCTGTAAATGGGCTGTGGGATGATGCCAGAGATGCGGGTACTGAAAATGGTTCTGTTGAAGGTGAAAACAGTGAGGATCATCAGGAAAATGGACAAGAATGTGTTCTTCGCAATGGAAAGCAACACCAGGAGAACGAACAAGGAAAAGAAAGCTCGGAAGATGAAGGGCAATGCAAAAAGGATGAGTTAATCAGTTGCTATTCAGAAGTGGATACTATAAAACTTGACTTGATGGAAATTAATGCAATTTCTTCTTACAGGGACAGTTCCGAAGCAAAGAGTAGTACCTCCCATAGTGAGATAGTAAAGCATGTGATGTCAGTCAGGTCATCACCAGAATCAAATAGAGGTGACGGATCTGTCGGAAGTAATCAGATTCTAGTGCAAGACACTCCGAAAGGTGCTCGAGGTTTTTCAAGCAATGAGAGAAAAGAAAAAGTGAGTCCAAGAGACACAACAAACATTCTTTTGGAAAGCCAAATCCATAAGTTGGAGCAAAGAGTAAAGATGCTTGAAGGAGAATTGAGAGAAGCTGCAGCTATTGAAGTTGGCCTTTACTCAGTTGTTGCAGAGCATGGATGTTCCGCAAATAAGGTCCATTCTCCGGCAAGACGTCTGTCTAGGTTCTATCTACATGCATGTAAAGAAAACTCCGTATTGAAAAGAGGAAGTGCTGCTAAAAGTGCTATTTCTGGAATATATTTGGTTGCCAAGGCATGTGGAAATGATGTTGCTAGGTACTTTTCAGTTTTAAGTTTTTGCGGAAGGAAGTTAAGCTACATGCACAAGACAGTTATTTGTTTTTCTTCTAAATATTCACTTATTTTTCTGAGCACAGGTTAACTTTCTGGCTATCAAATTCAGTGGTGCTGAGAGCAACTATAACCAAATTCCATGGGCAGCAGCAGCTACCTCTTTCTACTGAAACTATGCTTGGAAAATCTGTTGTCGCGGACAAGAAGAAATTTTCTCCACTTAAGTGGGAGTCTCACTCTAGCAACGGTGTCAGAGATGATATTTGTGAGAGTTTAGGCAATTGGGAGGACCCTGTTACATTTATAAGAGCACTCAAGAAAACAGAGGCTTGGATATTCTCCCGCATCATTGAATCTATTTGGTGGCAGGTGCACAAAATGAATCTTAAAGATGTCATTTATTGATTTTGAACCTGAAGAATCACCTACCTATCAACTAACTCAACTTTTTTTTATTCATTTATTTATTTCTTCAGACTCTCATTCCACATATGCAGTCTGGTGCTTCAACAGCGATCTGTAATAGCATGGGTTCCGAGATAAACAATGTCTGCAGTAGGACGTCTAGTTTTGGTGCTGAAGATGGAAAATTTTCCTTGGATCTTTGGAAGAAGGCTTTAAAAGATGCATGTGAAAGGATTTGCCCTGTTCGAGCTGCGGGACATGAGTGTGGCTGTTTGCATATGCTCTCTAAATCGGTATGGCCTGGCCTACCTTTCCTTCCATATTGTACATGCTCTTACTTCCATAATCATAACATGCTATTTTCTGTCTTTGTTTCACTTCTCAGGAAAATTTGTCTTCTAATTAAGTAGTTGTTAGCTCATATACTAATTAGTGTAATATGTTAAGAAAGACTACCAAACATGAACTTCCTTGTACTGAGGAAAAGTTGTTTTGCTTATGTTAAACCAGCATCTCCTGTCTTTCTTTGGATGGGTTTGATGTGGACCAAACTGTAATGATCTAGATTTTGGTCCATCTTGCCGCTAATAAATGGTTCTTGAAACCAGATAATGGAACAATGTGTGGTTAGATTGGATGTGGCTATGTTCAACGCTATCCTTCGAGAGTCTGCTGATGAGATGCCTTCAGATCCTATATCAGATCCTATCAGTGATGCTGAGGTGCTTCCCATTCCAGCTGGAAAAGCTAGCTTTGGGGCAGGTGCACAACTGAAAAATGCGGTGAGTATCATGGTTGTAACCTTTCCAGTTAGTGTTTTATAATGTAGATATGATTGTTAGGCTACTGCTTACCGTGATGCATTGTAGCAGGAGTTTTGTCCTTCATCACTTCTCTCCCCTATTACCCCAAGAAAACAAACATTTTTTTGTTCATAGCAGATGTGCCATACTAATATTTAGACTTCCTTTTCCCCAGTTTTCCAAATCCGACCCTTCGCTCTCCGTTATTTTTCTTCCCTCATTCTTTTACCAATTTTTACACCATCTTAATTTTCTTTTAGGTCACATTCTGCAAACTCTAAGATAGTATTTATCCGTTGATATATATATATATATATATATATATGATTTTTAAATCACATTGATTGCAGATAGGGAATTGGTCTAGATGGCTCACTGACCTTGTTGGCAACTCACTAGTAGACGAAAATAGAGAAGATAATGACGACAATGAGAGTGAAGAATATGATACATCTTCCAAGTCTTTCTATCTCCTCGACGCACTGAGTGATCTTATGATGCTTCCAAAGGATATGCTGTTAAGTAGGACAATAAGAAAAGAGGTTTGTCCTCAAAACCTTGAAAGCATCATGTTTTTCGCAGCCCGAGTGTTTTGTATTTTTCTTTCCCCTTATTTTTGGTGCTACTTGTCTCATTAATCCTCAGGTCTGTCCCACATTTGGTCCGATTATAATAAGAAGGGTTCTTAATGTTTTTGTCGCGGATGAGTTTTGCCCTGATCCAATACCTGAATGTGTACTTGAAGCTCTTAACACAGAGGTAAGCTCGCCTCTTTGTTCATTTTGCCACGCTAGAGTTTAAGCTCATCCCTTAAGATGTCTTTGTTCATTTTTCCAAGTAGATTTTGAAATTAGTTCTCCATTCAGAGCTTGGAGTAGGGTTGATGAGCTAAGCATTTTACTATTACAATGAACCAAGTCTTTTTAAATCAGATTCTGCTTCTGATATTTTTCCCTGGTTAGGATCCTTTTGATGCGGAAGAAGATTCAGTCATGAGCTACCCATGCACAGCAGCTCCTATAGCATATAAGCCACCTTCAACAGTTTCAGTGGATGGTCTATTAGGTGACATTAGTAGCCATTCTAAGCTGAGACGAAGCGGATCTTCAGTGCTCAAGAAGTCATACACAAGCGATGATGAGCTCGATCAAATGGATATGAACTTCATCATTTCTGAGGGCATTGAAACTTCACCACTTGCAAAATCCAGTAGGATATTGAAAGGTAATGTTGATGGAAATTCTGTGAGGTATCAACTCCTTAGGGAGGTATGGATAAACAGTGAATTATAATTTGATCTGTAGTAATTATTAGTTCTGTTAATAAATATTTTCAGCTAACGCAACTGCTGCATTCCTTCTAATTTTCTACCTTAAAACTAGAATATATCTTACGTATGAACAAGCTCAAAAATCTTGTCCGTTAGGAAGGAAATATTTATATTCTAGACTTACTAAAAATATTCTTGAGGACCTGTTTATTATTCAAGAATCCCAAGTAATTTTTTTAAACTTAATCCCGAATTTTTTTAGAAACAATTTAATCATCTGTTGGTTCAATTTCTGGTATTACTGAAGTTGGATTTTGATATGAGCAGTGTCAGTGAGATGGCAAGAAATCTCATTTATGTTAAGAGTCCAAACTCCAATTATCAACATCAGGATGATATAACAAGTACTGTTGAAGTACAATGCGCAGCTTTTTACAGCTCCATTAATAGAAAAAATAGCCAAACTTTGCAGAACATAACACAAGATTCATACGGGTGCCACAGCACGAGCTAATAAACGTAGCATTTCCATGGGGTTAAAAGTATTACACACCAACACAAGCATTCACCAAAAATAAGCTTTGTAGAATCTATATATATAGAGTATTATAAGCTTGTCTGATGCTCTCGCATCTTGATGTTTCTCTCTTCAGGCAGATAAAACTAGGTTGCACTCTTTTAAACAAAAATGAAAACAAAATTACGCATATTCCCGCCCAAAACTAAAGACTTTGTTCACTCATATTTCCTATACCTACTATGCTCGCAAAAAGAATGAAGATCAGCAGCAAATCAGATTAGCATCCTGCACTCAACTGTGTAGAGCCAACTGCATTCCTGTGCTGAAGATGCAAAGCAGCCAAAAGGCCTTGCCATGTTTCTCCAGGTCCTCCAGCCACTTGAAAATCAAGGAGCTTTCTCTGTTTCCTGTAGTATTCTTCTAGCGGTTTGATCTACATAAAACAGAATGATGACGTGCATTAGTTGATTTTGTAGTTCAACTGAGAAAATACTGAGTTATGACTCTGTACAACCACATTTAGCATGCTGACTAGCAATAAAATGAGAGCTGAGGAAATTTTGAACCAAATGCAATTAGTTTTATAGCTCTAATAGATAAAAGAAAATTAAACAGTGTATTTTAAAAAGTTGATCACATGCACCGCTACCTTCAGGTTACTGACATAAATATAGCTTAGGATAGATGCAATCATCTTTTTTTTTTTGTTTTGTTGGTAATAGATGCAATCATCTTTGAGACATTAACTTGTTTAAGACATCAGCACGAACAAAGTAAAAGCCCGTGAAGAAGATCAGGTGAGAACCGAGAGATGTCAGAGTCAAGAACAATATGGCATTGACATTTAAACTATTTCAGCATGGTTTGTTCAATGAACATTCAGGTACTCCATATACTGGCTTTCTAGCAAACAATCTTTGATTTGTATTTTCCTCAAAGGAAGTGCTACGAGAATGAGAATTTGAAGCAGATGATCTACGAGCACATTTGCATCTGTGTGATTCAGTAGGCAATAGTATTTACTTACACATCAAGAACGCTAAGAAAGGCGATCTATGATCCTATTCGTCAAGAATGCTAAGAGAAGCAATCTACAATTCTGTTTGTCTCAAATTATGACATCAAATTTTTCTAGTGTTTCCATCTGTAAAATTTCAGGACATCAGATAGGTACCTGCTCTGCATGCACATGCAGCTTCTTTCTCGAGACATCATTCATGGTATTTGAAGGCCTAAAATGACCACCCTCTGGCTGAAGACTCATATTAATTCCAGAAGTCCTGCGAAGGAATTCTAGAGGTGAATAAAGTCCAGTACTTTTGTCTTTCTTTGACATCTCACCCTCGGCACATTTAAGATTCAGAACTAGATCTATGTCCACAGTTTTGTCCAGGATTTCCTGCAGGAATAAACAAGAAGAGTATGTAATTTCCAACATTGTTTCCAGATGAATCATAACAAATACAATAAAAAAGAGTCCTCTTTGAACAAAATCTGAGATAAGTAAAAATAAATATTTTATACACTTGAATATTATTAGACAATGCAGATTACTGTAAAGTGAATAATCTTGGCCCAAACACTATCCGTCTCAAGATACAGAAACAGGATTTCAGAAAGTAACAAACAGCAATCATTTACCGGCTCTTCTCATCAATTACTCCCTCCATACCTTTCACAAGTAATATTGTGATTTTGTTAACCAACTACGTGTTGAAACTAATACCAGTTAATTCGAAATCTCAAAACAAAACTTGAACAACTGAAAGCGACTATACGACTTATATATAAGGTACTGGTTAAATTTTCAAAGTGTTTATTTATTTATTTATCAAGTAATTAACACCACCATAAACAAACTACAAAGTTCGATCAATATGTGAAGTATGAACTTTTAGCTGGAAGCTTGAGCAAGAAACTCAATTGTTTAAGGAAAATACAACAACACAAAAAAACCCAGTGAAATCCACAAATGGGGTCTGAGAAGGGTAGTTAGTGTGTACGCGGACCTTACCCCTACCTTTAAGAAGGCAGAGAGGCTGTTTCCGGTAGACCCTCGGCTCGGGAAAGATAAATGGAAGGAGCAACAACAAGCATGTTTAAGGAAAATAGTGTGAAACGAAAATGGAAGAATCCAAGATAACAAGAAAAAAGAAGATGCCATTTAAGTCTACAGAGAGAGAGAGAGAGAGAGAGAGAGAGAGGCTATACTTACAGCTTGAATCTTTGATCGAGGAATGCCGTCCAAGATAAATCCACTTTCACCCCTGCAAAATCCTTCTTCTAGCCTCTTTGACAACAGACCAAATATAACGTCTTCTGGAACAAGTTTTCCCTGATTTACAGCCTCTGCTATCTTCATAACAAAAAATGAGAGGTTTTATTAGGTGAAACAAATAAAAAGAAAAGAAAGAGTAATGCACCACTATCTTTAAACAAAGAATGTACTCCTGTACTCAATTGTTACATGACAAATTACTACTATTTGAGAAGCCAAACAGAATCTTATGTTCAAATACTTCGACTGAAAAATTCTGACTTATAGCTCATCATTTCGGATTATGTATATTTTATTCTTTATCGATGTTTTAATCTCACCAAAAATTAAATGGTTTTGACCCTCTGCTCTGAAATCGACATTCTTTGGAGAAAGTTTATTTTTTTATAAAGCTGAAACAGAGAAACTAATAATCGAAAATATGACCAGTTAACCAATCTTTTATGCTTTAAATAAGCTAGTATGAGTCAAATACATGGATCTTTCACCTTCATTTCCTCCATTCGAGCTCATTTCTTTCTATACTAAATTATATGTCAAAATAAGACCAGTTAACAACTAAAAATACAAATTTTCTTTTCATTAGCCATTCCCAATGAAAAGAGAAACAAGACCAGCTCAAACAAGCCTTTATACTCTAATTCCAGACTAGTATGGATCAATTATCTGAAAATTTTGGTATTCATTCCCTCTATTCAGGCTCATTTCTTTCTATTACTCCCCTGACCCAAATATCTTATACTCTTTCCTTCTTAATCTGTCCCCCCAAAAAAAAAAAATATCTTTCTACATTTAGAAACAATGTCACATCAAAATTTTCATTTTACTCTTAACGAAATGATGTATAATCATACAAATATTATGACCTGTTTTAGACATAAGTTTCAGAAGTCTTTTTTTTTCATAACGACCGTGTCAAATCAAACAACATCATATAAATTGAAACAGAGTGATAAATAATATGTCAAATAATACAAGTTAAACTAAAACAATTTTTTCCTTTAAAGAGCTCACTAAGGCAAAAAACAAACAGAAATAAAAGAAATTAAAACCTGCTTATAGATAGAAGAACGAGGGTGAAGTTCTTGACGAACAAGTGAGCCCATAGAAATATGAGGAACATCTAGAAGCTTCGAAAGCCATTGGGCGTACACGTGTCTCTGAGCCATAGGATCGCCCATGACCACCCACTGCACTCCTCTTCGTGGAACTGACCCTTCAGATTCCTCCATTACCCCTGAGCGTACACGTGTCTCTTCATAATATTCGTAATCATCGTCGTAATCGTAGTCGATCTGAGCTGCAGCTGATCCGTAAGACCGAAGAGATGACCGAATAATATGTGGCTGCGTCGCCGCTCTCAGACGGCTGAGCAATGCCATCGTCGAGAGAAAAAGGGTTTCTCTAAGGAAGGGAAATTGGGGTTTTACAGAGTCAGAGATGGCGGGATGAAATATTGACCCTGAATGTGGGGTTTATTTACGGAAATGCCATGATTTGAATGACACGTGTCAGATAATAAACGGTGGGGAGATGAATCGTGGGTCACGTGATTTTTATATGAGGAGGAGGCGGAGGGGAAATTGCAATCCACACAACTGGGGAGAGAAGTATGTGGTTGAATGACATGTGGACTGTCTCCGCTGCTAATGTATTTGTTACTCGACCGCGTCCACCGGCATATATATAACGAGTAATTGTATCCATCAAAATTTAATACGATAAAAAAAAGTTAACTAACGTTTTTATATCTCTTGAGATTTGAATCTTAATTTCTTGAAATTTTCACTCATTTCAATAATCATAGGCTACGATCTCACTATCATACATCCACTTTACTATGCAAGTAACTCTCTATTTTTCTCGATAATTAAAATATTTCATTAATCACCAAGAACAGTAATTACAAAATAAGCTAAGTCATTCCATATAATTTCTCTCTCTATACCCAGTACATAATCAACACACTAATATCTAGCTAGCTGGTCAATATATGATTGGTCTATGTCTGAAAGAAAGCTGCTGCATATTTGTCCTCAACTTTCCATGTACTTCCCTAGCAAGTTGCTCAATGATCTTTGTTTGGTCTTCAAATATCCTACTATTCCTCTCTTTCCATAACACATAGATATATTCAGCATATGGCATTTTAATTATCCTTGCATTCATCGATTTTCCTTTGGTGTGTGGGATCAACCTGATAATCAGTTGTTGTCATGAACTGGGCTGATAACTGGAGCCATATCAGTAATCTCATCCACACTGAACACTCACCAA